CCGAGCCCTTTTTAAAGCATGCCTGTGAATCTTTTGTTGAATGTCAGCTTGTTGCCTTTGTTACTAATCATACTGGTTTTGGAAGGTATGTATAGATAGGCCTCTCTGTCAGCTGATGATCCTGAGTAACACTAGCTCGAAAATACCTATGGTTTGAGAATTAAAGTTCTAGTGCAGATTTAAAAATGCCCCTGTTGAAAGCACTTCCAAACCCAGAGATTTATTTCAGTAGTTAAAACTATTCTTCATTTCAAGGAAGAAGATTTAGGGTGGGGGTCTTAGTAAGCTAGCCTTTAAGTTGGGCGTTATCATTTCCGGTAACTTGTATTTTACTTGTTCCCGTTTCATTTGTGTTCTTCTGATGAATGTGTATGCGTATATATCTAGTAATGAACACAGGTTAATTAAAAAAAACTTTTTTTCCCCCCAGGGATCTGGAGATTTGGATAATCTAGATGCTATTCTTGGTGATCTGACTAGTTCTGACTTCTACAATAATTCCGTATCCACAAATGGTAGTAATCTTGGAACCAAGCAGCAGATGTTTCAGGGAACTAATTCTCTGGGTAAGAAAGAACTAGGTTTTATTCTTGCTGCCTTTTTAACGTTTCTTCACACTTGTATGTATAGTTAACCCTTGAACAACACAGGTTTGAACAGCACATGTTTATTTACACACGTGTGTTTTTTAAAAATAAATACAGTACAGTACTATAAACATTTTCTCATGGTTTTCTTAATGTTTTCTCCATTTTATTATGAGAGTGCAGTATATAATACATATGACATACAAAATATGTGTTAATTGACTTATCAAAGTCTTTTGGTCAAAGTAGATAATTAGTAGTAAGTTTTTGGGGAATCAGAAGTTGTATGGATTTTTTACTGTGTTGGGGGCTTGGTGCCCCTAAGCCCTGTGTTGTTCAAGAGTCAGCTGTGCTCTTACACTAAGATTGGAACCTAAGCATTTTTTTTAAGAGAAAGAGGGCAAGCATGTGTGTGTGCGAGCAGTGGGGAGGGGCGGAGAGAGAATCTTAAGCAGCTTTATGCTCAGTGTGACGCAGGGCTCAATGTCATGACTCTGAGGTCGTGGCCCGAGTTGATGTCAAGACACTCAACCAACTGAGCCACCCAGGTGCCCCTAATTAGCATTTGTAAACTTCAAAATGCATACTCTACCTCTCAGTTTTGAATACTAATTCATAGTGCATATGTTTTAAAAAGCTTTCTGGACGTTTTTCTATTTTTTAAAATTTCCTGTTTCTAATTAATATACCAGTAATCCTGGAACTTTAGGAAAATGTTCATCATTGGTTGCTCCAGATGAGTACCAGGTACCTGAGCATCTATTTTTGTGAGGCATAGAGACTTAAATTAAAAAGCAACTAAAACTGTAGATAGAAGCCTGTCCTGTGACATTTATGGAACCTGGTTATCTAGCTGGGAGACTTCTTTAGTGTTTGCTGATTCTCCCTCAGCCTCTCTTCCACAGCTATGTCGTTTCCTCATTCATCAGTTTAACGAGGGTATATTACAGGTATCGATCAAAAAAGAATAATTCACAGTTATCAGCAATGGTGATTATTCATTTTCGATGGCACTGTTTCCTAAACTAAAATGGATAGATCAGTCAAATGGATTGGAAACAGTAAAAAGTTAGGAAATTTTGTATTTCATTCCTTGTTTGACTAGAGGGCAACTTACCTGGTTATATTTAATTAGAAAATTTTAAACAGAATCCACTTAAGAAGTTCCCTTAGGGAAGAACCTCTGGCAGTTTGAATGTTGCTAGCAGTTGTAATATTAAGCGAAGCAGAACACAAATGACCGTATCAGGCTGCAGAATGATGCCCTAGTACAGCAGCCAGTGCTGGGATTCTTGTTTTCTACTGGATTTGGAATACGGGGTTTTTGTCTTCGTCGTCGTCTTTTTCTTCTCCTCCTCCTCCTCCTCCTCTTCCTCCTCCTCTTCCTCCTCTTCCTCCTCCTCCTCCTCCTTCTTTGTGTGTGTGTGTGTGTGTGTGTGTGTGTGTGTTTTGTGTTTATTTTAGTAAGAGACAGTCTTGTGTGGGTGGTGTTGGTATTGATGTGTTGTCCTTGATTACTTATGTACTGAATTGTCAGAGGACATTTTGTATTGTGTATCTGTGTTTCAGCAGGTTTGAGGAGCCCACAGTCTGTGCAGTCCATTCGTCCTCCGTATAACCGAGCGGTGTCTCTAGATAGCCCTGTTTCTGTTGGCTCGAGTCCTCCAGTAAAGAATATCAGTGCTTTCCCCATGTTACCAAAGCAGCCCATGTTGGGTGGGAATCCAAGAATGATGGATAGTCAGGAAAATTATGGCTCAACTATGGGTATGTTATTTCTAATAAGTATTTATGATTAAACTTTTGGGAAAAGCAAATTTAGAATACTTAAAGCCATTTAAATAATTGGGATTAAGTAATAGGTTTATGAGTAACAGTAGCACAGTAGTTCTTTCATAAGTCTCCTTAATTTATTCTGTGGCCTGGTTATTTAAGCTCTTTAAAAAATATTTATTTATTTTGAGAGAAAGCGAGAGAGAGACAGATTATGAGAATGTGTGCATGCGAGACACGAGTGAGTGGGGGAGGGACAGAGAGAGGGAGAGAGAGGATCCCAAGCAG